CCCCCCCCCCCCTTCCTCGCATCATAACCAGTTCTAGCAAATACTCATACTTCTTTTATGTTTGAATACTTTCTTTTCGAACATACAACACCCACACAACAATGCTTTCGAGAAAGTTGCTAAAAATACAGTTTTTTCAATAGTTTTTGCGCGGGACACTTGAAGTATTTCACAACTAATCAGATGACCTTCTACAAATTTGCTAATTGAAATTTAATGGCAAAAAGGATACAAAATTGAAATTATTGAATGTTCAATTGACAGAAATGGGACTTATGATAGATAAGACGCATGTCGCCTTTGTCGTTGAACAATTGAAGGCAGTTAAGTCGGTTAGAGAGAGAGTGCGTGTGTGACATGAACTGAAAGTGAGATCAAGACTTACAAATGCTTCAATTCAAGAGATTGAGAGAACGATAAATTCAAAATTATGATTTGCCTTATTTCACATGAGAAAGTGATGGAAGATGTTTCATTCTTTCTCTTTCTCTCTCTCTCTCTCTCTCTCTCTCTCTCTCTCTCTCTCTCAATTTTCTTTTTGCATCACACATAGAAGAAGAATAAACATTAGTTTGATAACTGTTCTTCTGCCCATCCAAATGATTTCGTTTACGACCTTTTGAGTTATGGACAGAAACATTGCGACTATTTTTATTTTCAAATAACCCTGAAAATGATGGAATACAACCATGAAAAAACCGGATTCTAAGAATCAAAGAGATATAACGTCGTCGCTACCACCGTAAAAGACGTTGTTAGTTTTATCAATACGGAAATTTGTAATAAATCAACACTTCTCCTAAATTGAATTGCATGATAAGGCTAATCAAAATGAATAGTTGAAGTTCATTATTTCCATATTGAATCATTAAATGCATTCATTCAGTCGTAATAACGCTTTTATGATGCTATAATGAAAATAGAAAATGGCGGAACAAACTCAAAACCTTGCTAAGTAAACATGTCAAAGAGCTATTGGATCTATAAAAAAGAGGCAAAGAAGAAGGCGCATTTCATGAATGAAACTTCAGGCGATGAGCTATGTCACCCTTTCAACAAAAAAAAAGAAGCCAAAAGAGAATTAATAGAAGACTTTCATCACGCTGAAACCTTTCAATCTATCTTTCGACTGCATACTGAGAGCATTATTTGGGTTGAGCTATGTTATTCTTTTGAAAATGACAACAATCAGAAACTTTTGCTCATTAATTTTTAATTTCCATCTCCTGCTGGTTCGTTCTTTCTCATTTTACCGACACTGACAGCTAGTCAGTATCGACCTTTTACACTTCTTTTTTAAATTTATTGCTCGGTATAATCAGTTCTCTCTGTTTCTCCTTTTTTTTTTGTTCATTTTCTTCTTTTTGACAAAAATTCTTCAACTAGCTAGACAACAGCAGTAATGTTCATCGATCACGCAACCACTACAAGCGCCTGCTTTCTCTTACTACGTTTTTCATCTCTGCACGCTCTTGTCCTTCCAACTCTCAGATCTGTCGTCTTTCTCATTTCTTCATTTCTTTCCTTTCTCCTTTCGAGAAACACCTCCAATGAAAAATCTTCTTTTTTCTTTTCTCTTCCCCTCCCCCCTCCCGTAACCCCAGCGACATTTCATGTATGAAAATATTGAAATTTTCATTTTTTGCTCGTACTCTTTCTCACTTGATTAAGTTCAAGCATGTTTCAAGTTACATATTGTCTTTCAATCATCCTTGAAGTTATTGATGTCCTTCAAGCATCTATAACACATAGATATATATTCATAACACTATGCAGTTTCCTCATCAACTCATCCTATTCATTGCCTCTTACTCTTGTTATTCTGACTTTTAATTTATTTTTCTTTTCAAGAGAAAAATTTGTGGAAAATAAGAAAAACATGCAATGTTTTCCTCATGTTCTATTGTCTTATTGGCCACCTTTCTGACGTTTGCATTTGCTCATTTGATTCTTCACGTCACAACTGTCTTTGAAATTAAGTTGCGTGATTGTATTTGTTATTCATCTGGCCTTGACATAAATTCTCCTCTTTTATTTTTTTTATATATTTTCTTCCCTGTTTCAATGTTAATCTTCTCTATTTGAAGTTTTGACTTGTTCAAAACACTTTCAGCTTGCATATGATCTTTGATCTTTCTTTCTGTATGTAATCGGTTTGAGATATCTCTAAAGTATATGAAATAACAAATGCATTGAATGAAAATAATCATATTTTCATTTAGTTTTTCGCAAGCTGGGGGAATATATTTTTTATTATTTCGGATAATCAGAGAGATGAATGCCTATAGTATTGTTGCATTGAGTGAAAGAGAGAGAATGCGTGTGAATAAAAGGATAGCCAGAGAGCAATGAGAGATAGAAAAAAAAAGAGAAAATCGCCTGTATGAAAATAGCAGAGGCGTTTAGTTGAGAAAGGGAAATGGAAGGGGGGAGGAAGAGAGATAATGAAAGAGAGAAAGGAAATGAAGAGAAAGAGTCATACAGCGTATAGAGATGAAATCATTTTTCAATTTAGTGAACACATTGTGAATGTCATAGAGAAACAGAGAAACATAAATAGTGAAGCGAAAGAAAAACAGAGCGGTGAAATCTTAGCGAAATACTGTTTGCAGCCAGATGAAATAGAAGAAAAAACGATTGAAAATACATTTTCGGAAATGTTTATCAAGAAGATGAAAGATAGAAACATATTCATGAGAGAGAGAGAGAGAGAGAGAGAGAGAGAGAGAGAGAGAGAGAAAGAAACAACCGAAATACGAGCAACGAAAATTACAGCCGATGATGGTGCAATGGCATCAGACCGCCAACCGCAGACACTCTCTTTCGCATGTTCAGTGAAAACGAAAGAAATTTTTTTGTCAAATTGTTATTCATCTATTGTGAGAGAAATCCGTTCAGTTTTTCTATTTCAACAGTGACAAATAGTTGACAATTTTCGAAATTCTAACTGTTTGGCGCCCTTCTAGAATGATTTAGAATATGAGAATTCATTTTCATTGTTCCTAAAAATCATTGATTCTATCTTTCTATCCTAATTTGCACTAAATGATTTTATTACTTTGAAATTGATAGAGTTCATTCAGCTCTCCACCCCTTCCACCCCTCCCTTTTCATATCATCTTCTTGTTACAACTTACATTTGAACTTTCATCATCTTGTTCGTTTGTTCTCATTAGTGATATTAAATGTGAGTGCATGTTAAGCAAATATGTTTATTCTACAGATGTAATCTTGTAAACGTCGAGAAACTATCATGCTGAACTTTCTTCTTCTGTTTTATTAACAGATAATAAGAAAAATGAAGTTGACATTAAATCTTCAAATTATTTTAACTGTTTAACTTCTCTTCAAATTGATCACACGCACACGTACTTACTAGAGATAGACCACTAACACAAATGACATTGTAAGACGATTAGAGAGAGAGAGAGAGAGACAGAGAGAGACAGAGAGAGAGAGAGAGAGAAAGAGAGCATATGAAGCAAATTTATGATAAAAAAAAGAAGCTGAAGAGAAAGAAGTGAACGTAGAAGCTTCTAATATGTTCTCTCTTGTTTAAAGACTCAAAAAGAGAAATAAGAGAATGAGAGAAAGAGAACTAACATAAAACGCTTTTGAGTCATCATTTGATAGCAGAAAAAAGAGTTTCCGCTCTAACATACATTTATATTTCACTTTTAGACTCAACGTAGCTCATAGATATTCTCAGATTCACTTTAAACTTATCCTTCTGATATCTTTTTCCTCACTTTCTCTCTCTCTCTCTATCTCTCTCTCTCTCTCTCTCTCTCTCTCTCTCTTCAAATATCTAAAAAAAATGATGATAAGAGCTGACTGCTCATTCATTCTCCCTCTCTCTTTCTGTCATCAAGATACAACTCTGTTGATTAAAAGGTTTTTTTTCTGTCAAATCGTTCCATTATCAAGAACGTTTTGCGATAATCTTTGCAACTTTAATTTTTGGATGATTTCATTCTGCAACGCCCCAATCATCTAGTAAACACATCCTTCTTCCTCAACAACCCCACCTCTTCCGCATCCACTATCCTACTAATTGCCTTTTCATTATCAATTATGATTAATCATTTCAATATAACACATAAAATCATGCAATATTATCATTTCTTCTATTAATAAATGTCGCGACAATTGACCTTCATTAGAATTTTCACTTTTCAAATTGTCAATAAACTGTATTATATAAATAGAACTTGATGAATGAACCATTGCATAAATGGAATGATTTCATATTTCAAAAGATTTTCATAGCATTTATAGAATTTCGATATGATAACAAAACGTTTTGAAAAATGCTTTTTATCATATCACCCAATAAAATTTATTTTCTTCTCAATTGTAATCTCATTATAGGCTTCTTTCTACTCTCCTCATTATGTTGATGGAATGTTGCCTTCTTTCCCTTTTACCCACACATACATTCAATCGTTTTCATTTATAATCATTTATTATAGATTGTGCATTCGAAACATTTCAATCAAATTCGAGAATGAGATCAACCAAATCTGTTCGTCGACCACATACCACGACTACATCTGTTAACACAAGAAAGGCTCACTCTAAATCTTTCAAAGCTCAACGAAACCAAATGAAACAATGGTGAGTCATCTTGTTGAATTGTAAAACTTTCGTTATCATTATAGGATTGCTTCTTCCGTTCTCTCTCATGCCAAACCTGCTCCAATTGTTCTCTCCGAAACTGTTCATACCGTAGTAAAAGTGAGCAAATTCGTTATACGACTCATAAAATAATTTTTAAGGTTGTTGAAAGCGCTCCAAAGAAGGAGAAGCCACAAAAGAAGGAAGCTGTAAAGCCTGTTGAGAAGAAAACCAAATCAAAGCCAGAGAAGAAGCCTGAGCCTAAGGTTGAGAAGAAGCTCGAACCAAAGGTTGAGAAGAAGCCCGAGCCTAAGGTTGAGAAGAAGCCCGAGCCTAAGGTTGAGAAGAAGCCCGAGCCGAAAGTAGAGAAAAAGCCCGAACCAAAAGTAGAGAAAAAGCCCGAACCAAAAGAAGAGAAGAAGCCAGAGCCTAAAGCAGAAAAGAAGCCAGAGCCTAAGGTTGAGAAGAAGTCTGAGTCCAAATCTCAGAAAAAAGCCGAACCAAAGGTCGAGAAGAAATCCGAACCAGTTGTAGAGAAAGAAATCGAAGAAAAAATTGAGATTAAAACCCAAGCTTCATTGGAATCTCAAAATAACGCCAAACTTGATGAAATCATAACGAATGCTAACAATCAAAACCAAAAATCCGAACCAGAGAAGAAGGAAAAGTCCCAGGTACTTGTGATGACATCATTGATCAAACATATTTTTTTTTTCAGAAGAAGAACAACAAGGCTGAACAAAACGGAAGTTTGCCTAAAGCAAATGGAGTAACACCAAAACAAGCTGAATCCCCAGTTCAAGTTTGCGAAGTAACAAGCAGTGTTTCTGATAAGGAAAACTTATGTATGAATGACTAACATTATATAAACAAACAGAAAATATTTAAGCTGATTCTGACTCATCTGAGAAGGTTGAAAACAGACAACAAGTTAAAGCAGATAAGAAGCTTCTTGAGAATGTTCAGAAGCTTGCTACACAAGTTGCCGCCAAAATGGAAAATCAATTGGATCCCCAAACTGTAAGCATCAAACAATTTATAATAAATTGATTGCTATAACAAGGACCACTTAGCAATTAACACTATGCTAATGACATAGCATTTCTAAGTAACATTTTCAGAAACTCCATATCGATGCTCAACTTTATCAGTTATCTCAAAAAATTCAAATTGCCGACAGAGAACGCTCTCAGACTCCTGTATTGAATGTTGTAACTCCACTTCCTATCCAAAACATTTCTCGACCAGTGGTTAGTATTTTGTTTGTAATCTAACATTGTTTACTGTCAATAGAGAGCTCAAGCTTTTATTTGAAGCCCCTCCTTGCTATAAGCTTATATTGAAAATATTTTTTTTAGAAATTTTATCAATTTTTCAGACTCCAACAATGAGGGAACGCATCCATAAGCTTCTCCCTCAAGACATCTTGTTCTGTTCCAGACTCATTGATAAGCACGGTGATAATTTCGAGGTATAAAAGCCAAAACCGATGAATAATTTCAGAAAAAAAACTTTTTTTCAGGCCATGGTTAAGGATCCCAACAACACCTACAGAGAAACTGCTCGTTCATTGCAGAGAAAGATCCGTATCTTCAAGGTCATTAAAATTTTATTGAGAATTCGAAATTATGTTTGTGTTTTCAGGAATCTCCCCACTTCCAAGTATACCTTGAATCTAAGAACAACAGTGTCCCATTGGAACAGTTACTCGCTCAGCAAGCTGTTTAAATATCCATCGATGCTCTTTTTATTGGATCATGAAGCTTTTTCATCTAATAACTTCAACTCTGCATGCCCCTGAACTTTGCCTGTCTGATTATCTCCTTATTTTTTGAATAATCAAGTTTCTTCTATGAAATAAGTGAAAAAGACAATGAGTGTTTAAGAATGTCTTAAATACATGTTTCACTAGCTGAAACTATCCATCTTATTGTTTTATACAAGAAATCGTATTCAAATTCTGTTCTTTCATTTCAATGTTTGACTCGATGATTATACCCTTCTCAAGTTTTATGTTGCATTTCGTGCAATACTATCTATGCTTGAGGAAACTTGACACATTTTCCTTTTTTTTCATCTTTTATTCATCTGTCCCCTCTTATCTCGGTTTTAGTGAATTTTGAACTAAATTACCTGTTATAGTGTTCAAAATCGTTTTAGATTACTCTTTAACTACCTTCCCCCCCAATGCTAATCACCCTCTACTTCTCATGTCAAGATTTTCATAACTTGCACATCTTGTTACCTTTTTTTCTTTACTTTTTTGTTCTTTGATCTAAGTTGTAATAAAAGATCTTGAAACGATACTTCTCTATCCGTGGATCATATTCACCTTCCACCACCTCATTAGCAATTGCTCACAGTTTAAAATGATCTCAAGAGATATTTCTAGAAAACTTTAAAATCATTTTTCGAAAAGTTTAAACGTCTCACTCATTTCAGTTGTAGTAGCTGTTGCAGGGATTGGAGAAGCACACCTGAGAAATCGCAAAATGTTTTACAATGCGGAAGTTAAGAAACATAGCTGGATAGAGCATTTACAAGAAAAATACAAATTTTATTTGAGAGATCTGTGAAATAATTACATAGAATTGAAGATCATTTTCAAAATGATATAGTATAAAGAGCATATTGTTATCTGTGAATATTATAGAGATTAAGTATGTTTGTTATCTTCTACACACCAGTAACTTGAATAACTTCCATTTAATGATTCTGGATTACCTTTCAAGCTCAAAGGACGTCTTACATTCTTTCTCATATACTTCTTTAAACTTTTAATTTTAGTAAGCAATCTGCAAGTAGAAGTATAGATTATCATTTGTACTTTGTAGTTTACTAACCTTCCAACCAGCTGAGGATTTTGTTTTGAAAGGTCATTGGACTCCATGGGATCAACTACATATCGATTGATTATTTTAAAAATTATACTTTATACCTTTAATGTTGTATAGACGAACTTTTGTGGGGTCAGTTCTTATTTTTCTATCTGGACTACCTAATAATAGTTTATAATCTCCATCCCTTAATAGTTTCATACATATATATATAGTTGTATATACTTTGTTATTAGTACCTAATAGCTGACCCATAATCATCTATATTATAAACGAATTGAAATCTTCTAATTTTAGGAACACCAGAAACTATATAATCCCATTGGTTAATACCATCGCCTAGACATTAATAAGTATTATCTTGTACTCATCTTCTATTCACCGTAAGAGTCTAGACTTAATCCGGCCACAGCAAGTAGGGTAGCATGCCAATCAACAACATGGAACAACCTTTAACGATTATTAAAAAGATATTTTATATATATATGATTACAGACTGTGCTCTTTTGCCATTCTGTCTAATCATATTAGGAGCATGAATGATAGTAGTCGTTTTCGTCCCTCCTTCCCACAATGTATCTTTCTCACCCCTGAGTGGTTCATTAGATGCTCCAAATTGAGGTGTCCCACCATTCTAAATTGGAAAAAGAATTTTCAATTATTGAAAGTATAGAAACATCACTCGTAAAGACAATTACAGTATCCTCATATAGTTCACGCTCTTTCAAGAATTCAATGACTTTTCCAATAGATTCATCCATTGCTGCTAACATCCCTTTAATATAAAATAGAATTCTTATCATATTGTAATATCTTATTTTTCTAGTTTTGTAAGTAATTGGATAATAACAGAACTAACATTACCACAATAAATCCGTCTTAGACGATTCTTTATTCCCTTACAGAATTGCATGTAAGAATGAGGAACCTTGAAAGACAATGTTGTATTATAGGATTAACTATACATTGTTACTTGTAAAGGTGGATGAACAGCTTGAAATGAAAGAAACATAAAGAATGGTTGAGATGCATCATGATTAGCTAAGGTCCCTATTGTTGCATCAGCAAACAAATCCTTAGACAATTCATAAGCATTTTTGTCATTAAATTACGCACTTACGGTAGAATAGATACCATTTCGACTGTAATCCGGATAGCTGCTTCCTTCAGTTTTTTCTTCAAACAAATCTAATCCTCTAACAACTCTATTAATATCACGATGATACTGATCTATATATGAATAAGAGTATATGTACTAATATCGTTTATATAACATTAAAACCTATCTATACCTGCGCTATGATTGAAATATCCTGTTTGTGGGCCATAAAAGCCATAAAAATAATCAAATCCACGACTTGTTGGAAGAAATTCTTTACGACAATAACCAAGATGCCATTTTCCAACAATGTATGTTTTATATCCTAATGACTTTAAATTTTCGGGTACAAATGGGAAAATCAAAGGAACACCAGCAGGTTCCATGTGCAAAAAAACTCCGCTCTTACATGGAAATGGAATGATTGAATGATGATGGTGATCGAAGTGTTACCTGTGTACCCATCCGAAATGGATAATATCCAGTCATGAAAGCACTTCGTGTTCTAAATTGTGATAAGCTTCATAAAGATCGTTATGATATCATTTACGGAGTACACAACTGGTTCACATATGAATTGGTCATTTCGACGCTGCTTTCATGATTCAACAATTCGCGTAAATTGGGAGTGAACAACCTTAGAATAGAAGATAACGAAAATGGAATTATTTCTTATAGATTCTTACTTTTCGTCTTTCCAATCAAGATCGTTAAAGCCTAAATCGTCTGCCATAATGAACAAAATGTTCTTACGTTTTACAGTTGCATCCGGTCCATCTTTTGAAAAGAATCCATCAGCAAATGATTCACGAGATGATGGTTGTGAGTAGGAAATTCTTAGAATTACTAACAGCCATGCTAACGTATTGACTAGCATACTTCATGAACTGTAATAAGCGGTAAGAAGGTTAATTTTTATACGAGAAGGTGTGGCGATGAAGGAAAATGAAAATTTCTGAATAAAAAAATGATTGAAAAAGCGTTCAAGATTACTGAAAGACCAGTTTGATAAATGAAAACTAGTAGTGAATAGGATTGTTTCAACACTTTGCAATCATCGTTCGGTAGGTGAAAAGAAAGTTTTAAATGATCGGAAATCGTCATTGGCTGCTTCTTTTTTTTTATTTCTTAGCAACCTATGCTGTTCCTGACTTTCATTTCTTAATCATTGATCTTAAAATTGAAAAAAATTTTTCAAACGGGAAATTTGGAAATTGTTTGACTCAGAGCTACAAAATGGTTTATTTATCAAAATAGAGAACGATGATTAGCATGGAGACTAAGCATCAATTTGGTTTCTGTTTTTGTTCGGATGAAGAATTGGGAAGGTAAAAAAACATTTTTGTTTGGTTAATTGAAATCTATAGGAAATCTTGAATCAGTTAATCGGAGAACAAAAACCATCATAAAAGGTGTGGAACAAGGAGTTTCGGAAGGAAATAAGAGCATAAGGTGGTGAGAAGATGAAACAAAAAAACCTGTCTGCCGATTTCTAACTGTCAACCACTTGTCCGCTGTAAGGGTATTCGTAGGAAATTATTCTTGTTCTTCGAATTTTAATAATTCCCTTTAAGATCGCAAGAACAGAGATATTCGGACGACGTTGTCGGAGACACACAACCAGTTCAATGAAAATAAAATTCAAAAACTCTTGATGAAACGTTCATCAACTGATTTTTAAAAAAAAAATTTTTTTTATTTCACTTCCTCTCATTTTGCCAGAGTTCCTAATCCTTCAAGAGGTTTGACATTCAAAATTTGAGAAAAGCACAAGTGAAAGAAAATAATTCCCAACCAGTTTTGTAGTGTAGTCACCGCAATCTTATTGAGAATGCTTGCCATTGTGCATTGCATTGTCCGGATGAAAATCATTCAAATATATAATACTTTGATTTACTTTCTCCGATCGAAACCCCCCCCCCCCCTTCTCTCTTCTTTGGTATGTAGTCTGTTTCCTGGATGGCATTCACTTCAGTTTCATTGTCGTTTCATATTCAATTTGAGAAACATTTTTATCTTTTTTTTTCTTCTTCTTCTTTTTCTTCTATTTCGCCGTTCTGGATTCCAAGATTGACAAAACAAAGCAACGAGATTCCGAAAAAATGCAATGAAGACCTTGGACAATGACCGATTGCGCAAAAAAATTGTTAAAGACAACATTTTGCGCTTGAAAGGCTCAAACAGATAGAATTCATTTTTCAAATCATTTGTCTTCAATTTGACGTCATCACCAGTTTATCCTGGCCTCTGCTGGCATGAAGAGATCATGCATGTTATTGACAGATTGCTGACGAATCACAAGCCATAGCAGATGTATTTAATGATAGTATAATACTTCTTTGTTGCTGAGGATACTCATCTAGTCATTTCACAATCAAATTCAATATTTGAATAAAAATCTTTTAGGAATATAAAATGCATTTTGAATAAAAAAGAAAAGTATGAAATCAAAGAAAAATAAGCAAAGAAGTTCAGTTTGCCTTCTCGGTAATGAAGTTTATTCAGTTTTACGCCAGGGTTCATTGTGCTCATTACCACTCTGATAGTGTTCAATCTAGACATGTTCAAGAATATTCTATATTAATTTTATAATATAATCTCAATATCTCTTTACTTTATACCGATAACCTGTATATGGACATGTATGAATTCAATATGTATCATTGAGATAACGCGCTCCAATCATAATAATATTGTTGTATGTTTTACCGGAATTTTGTTAGTTTCATATATATCTTAAATCCGTATATGGCACTGTAGCATATAGTTTGTTACTTCCTTGTATATACGTGATTCACCGTTAATTTTGTATTTTTTTTTATTCCCGTCATCCTTTCTCTATTTTCATGTCACAAACAGTCTTTTTTCGTCTTCTTTTCCTTTTTTTTTAACTGTCATTATAATCTCAAGAAAACTTGGCAAAGAAAAGGAATTAGTTGTAAAATTCATCTGACTAATACATAATAGTATTTGTAGAGGGGGTAGAGTGCCTTAGCCCAAGGTCAGATTTCAATTTGGCCGGGAAAAGAGTTTTCGAAAGATGTATGATTGTGGAAGAAAGCATGGAAAGTGCTTTTTACCACGAACCTGTCTTTGGCATTGTACAATCTGCTATAGAAAACGTCGTCAGCCCAAATTGGCTATCTTTTCGCAATTGCGACATTAAGAGAGAGATATCCGAAAATGTATTCTGGATGTTGAATCATTTTATGAGCGAAATGAGACAGGTTGAGAAAAAGAGAATGATGGGGAGGGGTAGTGCGAGATACACAAAACGTCAAATTAAATGTGTTGGGGAGGCATGCTTATCAGCTAAGTTGATCCAAGGACTTCCTCCTCCTTTTTGATTGCCAAATCAGCTCAGCCGGTTGTTTTAATTGATCCTGAAAACATGTGTTTCAGCTTTTGCCATTTGATATATCGTCCTTTAAACATTACATTGACGATTTGATTTGAAATGTTATTGTTGTGTGAAAGCAACTCACACTCAGTTTTCGTAATTTTCTACTTGATAAAGATCCATCAAAAACTGAAAATGTTTGTTCGAAATGAGAGCTATGGCATCCGTTATCGGAAAAACCTTATAGTATTAAGAACAATGTGATATCTTTTGAATATCCTTGGAACCAATCGGTTTTTGTATTCATTTACAGCCTATCCATCTGGTTTCCTCTCTCTTTTTCCTTTTCTTTTTCTCATATTCTCATTAACTCATGGTTATCTCGCTTTTTTTCATCTTTTTTTCTCTTTTATTTTCATTATGCCTTTCCTCCATTTCTTATTTTTCCATCACAACTTGAAAACTGTTTTGTACATGGTCGTTACCCTTCGGCATAGGTAGGATTGGTATTCGTCTATTCCACAACTTTCATCATTAATTTCTCTTAGCTATCATACACATACATATATATATATTTCGCTTCATCAACTCATATGAATTGGGAAAGATAAAAAAACTTTTTTTTTATTACTCCTCTCATTCCTGAATCACTTTCATTTTGGATTGTTTGAAAACTCTGTTACCCCACATATACCTGGATTATTTGTAGAGCTTAGGATTGTGGATGTAAGAGATTATCCCATATCTCTCATCAACCATATACTTTCAATCCCTGAAATTACAAATACACCTTCTATTATATACCTTTTTAGCCCATTAGAGTTTGCCGTGATACTAGAAATAGACAATCCAGTAGCTGGTTGCCAAATTCTCTTTTTTTTTGTTTTATTCTGTCCATTTCTAAATCACATCCAGATATGGCTAAACCCATCGGATGATGCTGTATTTCTCATATTTCCTCCTCCCCTCTCCCGGCTAATAACCCGAGTATTCTTCAATTATTCGCTTTCCTCCCCCATGTTGAAAAGCAACAACCTTCTATTCAATTAAGTTTCTTTTTTTTCTCTTCCGAACGATGTGTTTCTTCAATTCCGCGACGCCATGTTGCGAATAATCGTTTTCGTCCAGACAGAGGTCGAAAGCGAAAACTCTCATTCACCGTAATGCAGTATTTGGGAGAAGAAGACCTTGACGAGCATCAGTTCAAAACCCTTAGCGCTATTATCTTGTTGCGTTCAAGATTGAAATGCATTTTTTGTCCCTTCTCTCGCATTTGTTTGTTACATAACATTCAATTTTCATTTTCATCTATTAAACAAGATTTATTTTATGTTTCCATTTACATAGATAGATATATATATATATATATATCATATCATATCATAGGTAAATCATCATGTTAATACCTACATCCTATTTTATATAATTTTTGAACGTCCTGGATTGATTAACTGCTACAACTAGCTCAATGTTAAGCATTATAAAGCATTGAGTTGATGGATTTTGAAATGAGTCTCATAAAAGATTAAATTTTCTCATTTCAAACTATCATACAGCCCTGATACCAATAGTTTCATTCATTCATTCTTTCTTTTTTCAATTTTAAAAACAAAAGAAAAAGAAAAGAATGAACAAAAAAAATAGATGAAAGGATTTGATGTCTGAATATCTATCAGCAGCTTTTGCTTCATTTCTTCTATTAGAGAAATAGATAGAAAGAGAAAAAGAGAGAGAGAAAGAGATTATAAGAAAGATAACGAGAGCATATGAATATAGAGACAAGAAAAAACATCTGTTTAAGGTGAGAAGAAATGATGATAACAAAAAAAAAGTTATTTTCAATGTTCATTGCTCCATATATTTTGTTCAGCTTTATCTCGTAATTGCTCCCCAGGAGGGAAGATATTTCCACCTGTTTTGTTATATAATGGTAAATAATCTTCAGAATTATTAGAATACTGCTAGTATATATGCCTGTTAAATTATCATTTGTTATGCAAAATTTAACTGAAAAAAATATTAGAATAGATAATGAAAGTTGTGCATGACCGTTTATACGTTATATTATTCGTCAATTCGGAAATTTTTTTTCTGATTTTTCCTGAATTAACTAACCAACACCAAAAAGAAAATATCTATATTTATATATATATAGATATATAGATATAGATATAGATATTAAGTGAAAGACAAAAAAGAAAATAAGAAAATTTCAGTTGTGTGTGCTGCGTACGGAAATCGTTTTTACGAGGATTGCTCAAGGATAACAAAAGGAAGAAAGAAAGATAACAAACTGGATATCATACACAGAAGTGAGTATATTATAATAAGTAGTAGAAATAAGGATAATTATATAATATGCTTTATTCATATATATGGTTAGGTGCTAGTTATGCTTTCATACGTTCTGCTCCTTTCTTACATCCATTACGCTTGCACATGACTTATCCTTTGAATATCTTATTATATTGATTATTGCACATAGGTATCTAGAGGTTTAGTAGATTTTGCGATGTGCCTCTCTTTAAACATCCTTACCATTACTGTATATAACCACTACCGCCACTAACCCCCTTCTCCTTTACTCCTTCTTCTTCTCTCTCTTTTTCTTCTTTCTTTCCATTGTTTTCTTTCCGGATGGTAGTGAGCAAACAGTAAGTTACCGTCATCAATCCTTTGTTGGTTTATCCCAGCATTGACTTTTGCTGGATTTCCTAGCGGTAGCTTTGGTTAAGCCTGCGAAATGTAAGCTTTAGGTTTGAGAAGGTCAATGAGTGCAAAGGTCAACTATGGGTCGAAAGTGTTTGTTTTCTATGAATGAAGCTAAATATTGTTTTCTGGTCATCTGGAAAATATATATTCTTGTGATCTTTCTCGGATAGGCATAAAGGCTATACAGTATGCTGTTTTGGTTTCGAAAACTTTGAAAAATTTAGTGCCAGACGTCAATTTTGAAGAGAGAAAAAAAGATTTTTGGGCTCCCTCAGATTACGTTGATGGAATAATCTTGACTATAGTAATGGTATGTAACAGAAGTATAGATGGCTGCTTGTTAGCAAAGAATTCTTTGATGTTTCGTTTGCAAAGCAGTTCCTTGTCCTTCAGAGTTTGCACCTTGGTCACGAAAATGGAAACTGCATGATAGTTTTCTATATAATATAGTTTGTGACCCTAAGGAAGAAATATCGCTTTTTCAATAGTCGTTTGCTTCTGGTAACCAAACAAAGAAACATCCTATCCGGGAGAATGAATAGTGGACTATTTGACCGTACCCGGAAATCAGGTGTGGGTAAACACAAACGCAACACCGTGAGCTCTATGGATAAAACTAATAAAGGAGTAGAGTATGTGAAATGAGGAAGAGATAGATGATTCGGGAGAGATAGTAGATTGATTCGTATGTGTATGTGTGTGTCTTCCCCGTTCCGTTTTCTCATACTTTCTTTCTACTCTTTGTATTCTCTGATCATCTAATCATGGCTTATATCTCTTCTCTTACTGTATTGCTCTAGCGAATGTTGTCTTATCCTCTCTTTCCGTTTTTGAAGTCAATGTGAAGTTCTTCTTCACGTAGCTAACAAAGGTAAGCAAACAATTTGCTTCTTATAGCTCCGACTAGCTATGTGGACAGTTCCTTGGACGTTACTGCCCCTGTCCTCCTGTCAATACACATCGTCACTACTCAAATGAAATCTGAGTATACGAAATAGCAATAGATCTAAGAGAGTGATAGAGAAAAAAACAAGAGACTGAGAGAGAAAGTTTGCATGCTCAAGCCGACTATATGAGAGAGTACAGGTTAAGAGATATATAACATAGAGCGTTGAGGTAGGTGAGATAATGAGGATGAAAAAGTAAGAGGAGTGGGACGAAAAGAAGACAGTCAAGTATGTACAGACATGACAAAGTAAGACGAGCCTGTGCACATCTTCATTAGGCTTGCACCAACCCCTTCCATCTTTTCTTCTTCATATATGTTCATTCCGTACTTTTTGTTATTATGGACCAGTTTCCATTCATTATATTACGTATGTATTCCAATTCATCGGGTACAACTACTATATAAATTAAAACTAACTAATATGCTTGAACAGTTTTATCATTTCATGTGCATCAATCTCTCAATCACATATTATTTTTTTTCCAAAAATGGGCGTTAATCAAAAACTTTTGTCCAGTATTTTTTCCTTTTTCTCCTCTTTTTTTTCCACTGATCGCAGATATGCAAAAACAAATGAACACACCTATTGTTCTTTCTTTTCTTTTTTTTGAATTTTTGATGATAAATTTTTATTTACGGTTCTTGGAAAGATAATTATATCAAATTATCTCATCCCAGTAGTCTTCCAAGCAGCTTCAAAAACTTTTACCTCAAATACAGCATGTAAACAATGCTGTTATGCTTATCCACACAAAAACAAAAATGGTATCATTTTCATCTATAATTATTGCTCAGTCAAGAGAGATTATTTTGAATTTTAAAATTCCATTCATAAATCCCTTCCCTCCCCCCTTACCTCTCTCCTCCTTCTCATCCTAACTTTCCCTCCTCTTCAACATATCGTGGTTTGATTTTCGAGATCTTCATCTGGCTATGTTAATGTAGGATGATAACAACTAGTTGATAAGTACAAATATGAAACTTCTGCTCATAATTAAGTGTTTTTCGTTCAAGTTATACTATCTGCTGATTACTGTCATATGTATCTGATTGAGATGTCATGGAAACGACTAGCTGAATGAAACTTTACTCAAAATATCTTTATAATCAACACGTAATAACCAATTATTTCTGATTGCTCGTTAAGTTTGAGACAAAAAAAAGAAAAAAAAAGGATATAGGAATAGCCTGAATATCCGCCCCTTCTCATAAGAATATATTCTGGTTATGGTATGCTGTTGTATTTCTTGCTTCTTTCTTTTTATTATTATCTTTTTTTGCTAATATAATTATATCTTGATTATTTGAATGAATTTAACCGTATTATAGGTAATCATGGATGGCATGAATGCTTGTACCGAATGCGGCTTTACCACAAACAAAACAGATGTTTTTCAGCAACATATAGGTATGATGCTGTTGTTTATCACATAACTAACATAATTTTTTTTTTCTTTTACAGAAAATCATGAAGAAGAGCATCGCGGTATAACACACAATTTATCATATCAGGTATGATGCGAAAATAGGAATATCTTTTTATTTATATCAACCTCAAATGCTTTTGCAGCCAACAGAATGGACAAACGAAAGTAGTGTTAGTAGCGACACAGCATCATCGTTATCTCCCACTGGCAGTGTGTCAGAAAATATGAAAAGCCCATCACATAGTCCGAAACAGAAAGATAAAAGCAAATCAGATGTAGTACCTTTCCAGAAAGGTATGCTTTACATATACATAATGTTGATTAACGAAACATATAATTTTAAGTCAATCACATATCCAATTTGAATGAAACGCCGAGTAAAAGTAGTAAAAGAGCATATATGTGTCCACATTGTAATTTCACGACGTTTATGTCTCAACACATGAAAAGCCATCTGGTAATTACATTGGCTTGTTGATCTTCTAATATATTCTTTTAAGGAAGCTCATGAAAGACATCAGGGACAAATGTATATGTGTGACATATGCATGATGCAATTCAGTCAAAAAGTAAATGAATCGTTGAATAGTATATCATTAACGGGACCTATTACTTTAGGCCAATATGCATAGGCATAGGATGCGGCATAGCGGTGTTAAACCATATGAATGTAGGTTTTGTAAGAAGCGATTTTTCCGAAAAGATCAGGTATGTGAGAAATAGTTGTAAATGAAATATCTCACTCTATTAAGATGCAAGAACATTCCATGACACACATCAAAACAGGTGTTGATTTCGATTGTCCTGTAGCTTTATGTAATCAATTATTTAGTCAGCATTCTCTATTAAGGTATACACTTGATGATTGACCTAGCTATGCCATACTGTATTATTTATTTAAGGGCGCATTTAGAAGAAAGTCATAATGTCAGTCCAGCAACACCAGCTTCATGCAAAAGATGTTCATTACTGTTTGCGAATTCTCGACGTTTACTGTTACACTACCAAACACGCCACGACTCTGATGTAATTTCATGTTCATTTCTGAATTATCTATGAAATATAATCATTTGCAGTCACCAGAAAACAGATTACCTGAAACGAAATCTAATCGAACAAGGGGATCAAAGCGTGAAAAGAAAGAAGATATAAACCATAATAATACTTCGAAGAAGAGCTTAATGACGACTGAAAAAGTTGAAAAAGAGAAAGAAAAGAGTTCAAAAACACAAATGGACACCACAAGTGTATGTCTTTGCTAGGTAATAAGTTGTAATCTTGGATTCATTGCAGTTCTTACCAGTGGAAGCTCAAATGACCAGCGATCAATTGTTGGTTCTATGTCTTGCCAATAGTGCTGATCGCATTCGATCATCTTTACTTCAGAATACGGGACAACATGGGTTAACTTCTGATCTTTCCTTAGATCCATTAAAAGCTATAATGAACGGGTCTCTTTCAATGCTTAATGATGAAGAAGTTCATTCTCCATCATGTGATAGTGGTAGTTCTAATAATTTTTCGTCCGAAGATGGCTTTAAAGTATCTGCAATTGCTGTAAGTAATTCGTAATCAGCATACGACCGACAATCTATTATAGGATTGTCAACATTGCGGAATAATTTTTAATGATAATACAATGAAAATTCTTCATGACGGATTACATTCACCGGAAGATCCATTCAAGTATATCAAATTTAAGTGTTATTATATGATTAATTAATTCATTTTCAGATGCAATTTATGTGGTACCCAGTGCGAAGATAAATATTCATTTACAGCTCACATCATATTTGCGAATCATTCACATCATTTCTAATAACTTCAACTCATATTATTTATATGTATTTATATTATGAATATGCTAAAGGTTGTATATCATTGCGTGTAAATGTATTTGTACATCATTAACATTATATTTTTAAATAATTATGTGTAAATCTCATTGATCATAATCACTCAATCATATGTTTATCTCTTCCTCATCATCTCTCTCTCTCTCTCTCTCTCTCTCTCTCTCTCTCTCTCTCCCAATCTTCTTTATTAACGTATTGTTTTCTTTCTAATAGAGCATATTGTTCATATCAATTATCTGGAGACTCATTATCTATTATTCCACAGTCATATCGTTTTCATCCTTTATTAACTAATTGTGAAACTTATTTGAATCATTCTACATTTTTTTCAAAAACAGTCCCTATAACATGTAAAATGAATTTAGTGATGCTTTATATCTTACCTGTTCAATGGCACATTGCAGAGGTTTTCAAACATTCCATACTGTTTCATTACTGGGGCATCCGCTACTCCAAAAAGTTTTCTCATAATATCAAAAAAGCCAAACTGACTTTAATTTTCTCCTCTGAATTACAATTATTTTCAGGGTTTGAACCGTGGCGCATGCGCAATTGTGTCATATGAAATAATGGGGGAAATGGGTATCTCGAGTCATCTATAAACATTTAAATCTTTATATTAATTCACCTGCGCGACTTACACAAAACATTCTTTCTGTATCAAACAGATCAACATTTTTTAAAATTTGGTCCCCTGACCAGTATCAAGATTCCTGCAAAAATTCATTCACATACCTTTATAATTTTCAAGAATAAAAAAAGAGTGTAATGAGAGCGAAAAAATTTCAAAATTTTCAAAATTCAGAATTTTTTAAAAATTAAATTAAAAATTAAAAAGAAAATCCCAAACTCATCATCATTGCTGGATGTTTTTGAAGAAACTTCACTCACTTGACACTGTTATGACCTGGCAGGAAATATCGGCTCGCGAAAATAGGATAGTCATAATCATTCAAGTTTTGAAGAGAAGTTTGAGTGCTTGTAGTAGAGCGACAACAGAAGAAAAACATTCGCTGATTTCAAAAGGTTCAGTACTAACTATGTCTATAAATATAGCTTGGGGTAATATTGATTTCAAACATTCAGAAAATAACTAAAATATATCAAGTTAACGAAACTTCAATGAATTCGAAGTAATACATCCCAAACTCATCATCATTGCTGGATGTTTTAAAAGAAATTTCACTTACTTGAGAATGTTCTGACCTCGCAGGAAATGATTGCTCTATCAAATAATGGATTATTAAGGTGGAGATCAATACACTACAATTACTAAGTTTTCTCATAATATCATATAAGCCAAACTGACTTTTATATTTTCTTCCGAATCACAGTTATTTGTTAGGTCTAAACCTTCGAGAAGGTTCTTTCTATCACCAACACAGTTATGACACAAGAATTTCAAATCAAAATGATGGAAGTCTGTCATCTACAAACATTGTAATTATCTCTATATTAGTTTACCTGCGCGACTTACACAAAGAATTCTTTCTGTATCAGAAAGATCAACATTTTTTAAAATTTGGTCCCCTGACCAGTATCTCTCCTTACTGATTTTGAT